GCACTACAGCACACTACGCCGCACTATGTTCCTCTGGGGCTCAAATTCAGCTGCTGCAGCCCAGTCCTTTTCTAGGGGTTCCCCAGGGCATTCAAGCAAGTGCAGTGGGAAGGGCTTAGCTGGAAGGCTGGCGACTTCCAGTTGGAACCTTTCCCAGGCAAAGTCATGCACTGCTGTCTCAGCTCTACTGGCAAGCCTTTCCTTCTGCTGCAGGAATATACTATAGCAAGCAAAAGTCGGTTCAGCATGGTCTTTCGCGCTACTGGGAGGGTGCGGAACTTGCAAGACATGCTGCGGTCTAAGCTGGCCTCCTGGTGGCTGCTCGAAGAGACCGACCTCGTGCGAGCTCTGCGTTGAAAAAGAAGCCCGCCGGAGCTCTGCTTTCTGAATAAAACCAGACATAGAGGCCTCTGAACCTGACTGACAAACCCCAAAAAAAAACTGATGCAGACATGTCCTCTCCGAAACAAAAAAAAGATAGAAAAAGATAAAAAAAATAAAAATAAATAAAAATACATGAAAATTTTAAAAATAGATAGAAAATAATAAAAATAGATAAAAAGAAATATTGCACACTAAAACCTACTTAACCTATCTCCGTTTTAACTCTCCCGTATCTCTGCTTTCTCTTTCTTTCTCACACAAGTCAATCGGCCCACTGTGTAGCTCCAGCCCAATAGCGGCGGAGGGCTGCATAGCGGCCCCATAGGTCAGACGCATAGCGGTTCCGCGCAGCGGCGGACTGCTGCACATAGCAGCTGTGGTTCATTGCCCACGCTTCAGCCGCATATAGCGGCCCAATGGTGCATCGCACTAGCCCGCGAGGTGTCGGCCGCATAGTGGTGCCGCATAGAGGCGTGGTGCTGCACAGCGCCTGTTTGGGCCCACGTGCATGGCAGCCGCATAGCGCTGCCCATAATGGCGGAGGGCGGCCTGTAGCGGCTTTCCCGCGTATCAGCCGCTGCTGCACAGCAGCCAGATAATCGCCAGATGAGGAGGCAATTTTAAGATATCTGATGAAACGGAATCGCCAAATAAGGGGGCGCATTTCAGATTTATGTTGAACCGGTATCGCCTTCTTATTTGTGCTTGTTATTCTTCGATTTCTTTCTAGATTTACTGCTATTGTTGTTGCTGGTGTTGTGTTGCTGTTGCTATTGTTGTTTTTGGCGTTTCTGTTGCTGCTAGTCAACTGGTCTTATTGTTGGCTTGAGTGTGACTTGCAATATGTGTATGTGTCTGTAGGTTTTCTTGGTTTTGATAGTGGGGCTGAGGAAGTTTAGGGTTTTCGGACATCTTTAGTTCGGCTACACATGCCCGGCTTCGGCTGCAGCTGCCTCGTAGGCAAGGTCGCGGTATGGAGATGCCCGACCCAATGCCCATGGGACCTTGAAGTGTGGACTGCAATTCCTTTGCCAAGCGACTTCGGCGCCATACCAGATGATGTTGTCATCGTTTCCCAACTGAGCCGCGCCAGGGCCTGTCGCTGGCTGACATGCATGTAAATGTAGCAACCAAGTAGTGTTCGGTGTGCACTTGCCGTATCCCAATCCACCCCGGTGCAAGCAAGGTATCAGCAATAACAAGAATAACAAGAAATAATAAGAAAATACGTGATAAAACAACAAAGAATGAGAATGATATCAAGAAGGACCTTGATAGAAACTGGAACAATAAGTAATGATAGGATAGCTAAGAACGAGAATAATAATCATCTTATTAACAAACATATTCGTTTCAACAATATTACATACAGATACAAAAGGGACTGCCGTGGGGCCTGGGTTTTTGGACACCAGACTTTGGCATACTTTTCGGTACTTGTCATTTTGGATTGCTTTGCATGCTGCCCGGCAGGCGCGGAAGGCCCTATGTTTGTTGATGTTGTAGTTGATGTAGTCGTTGTCGTTGTGGTGGTGGTTGTTGCTGCTATTGTTGTCGCTTTTCGTGTTGTTGTTTCTTGTTTTTTTTTTGTGCTGGTGCTGGTGCTGGTGCTGATACTAATCGTTGACGTTGTAGTTGTAGCTGTGGTTGTTGTTATTGTTGTTGTTGTTGTTGTTGTTGCGGTTTTTGTTGCGGGTATTATAGCTGTTGTTTTTGGTGGTGGTGGTGGTG